GGGTGAGCGCCGCCCGCGCGCGGCCGCGTGTTCGGGGGGCTGCGGGCCGCGCGGGGGACCCGCTCGCAGCGTGCCGCCCGCCTCCGTGGCAGCCGTGCCCGGAATGGCGGCAGGCTTGAGGCTTGCTTGGAATATTCCCTGCGTTTAACTGGAGCGAGGGAAAAGCAAACCAAAAAACCGTGAGTTTTACATTGGGAGGATTTATTAAAAATGCAGCCGGGGTTCTCTGCAAGTGACGCATTTTCCCCCACCCCTCCCCGTTAAAACAATGGGAATATAAGGCAAAGGATCCCATATTTTATCAGGAATGTAATAAGGACACTCCAGTTAAATGTCCTCACAGACTGCCCAGGTAGGCCAGGCAGAATTAGGATGATCAAGGAACATTGTAAGACCCTTTTACTTTGTCTTGAGATTTATTTTAGTCTGATAAAAAACACCCTATATTAGTGGTCTTTGTRTATATATTAAGGACAGACTTGAAATAGAGTAAAATATCCCTATTCATTTCTGTCAGGGTGATGCTTTCTTCCTTTTCAGTAGTGTTTGGCCCACAGTAGGGGGACATTATCCACAGGAAAAGCKCATGGATTAAGGATATGGCTTATGATAAGGTCTGCTAATAATGGTGCAGATGAAAATTCCTAAAATTTTAGACTGGTCCAGAAAGTAACAGTTATAGGTTAAGCAGAATGCAGTGAAAATGGTAAGTGGATTCACTGGAAAGTGAATGAATTTACTCAGTAGCTCTGTAGCCACCTGTTGGTAGCTTTCCTTTTTCCTTTTTTTTTTTTTTTTTCCTCCTCTTTTTCCAGAAGGAGGTGGGGCTTTTTTTCTTTTTTTTTTAAAGCTGCTTTCGTTGCCTCGTTTGAGCCTGAGCATCCTGATTTAAATGTAAGAAATGTGTAAATGTAGGGGCTGGCTGAAGTCATTTTTTAGAATGTTTGAGTGATTACAATACAATAATTAATAATAACTAAATAATTAAAGCAGTGCTTTTAGTTTTGTAGACTGTTCAGCCTGCTTTGCACTCTTCAAGCCATCCACAGCCCTCAACAAAGCAAAATGATGTATAATAGGCATTTATTGGCATTTTTTGGATTTCTAATATAGAAATAAATTTTTTTTTTGTTCTCCTTGAAACTTGAAATGCATACTTTAAGCATCCTCCTCAGGTAACTGCTTCACTAGCTGCAGCTTTTCACATCACTAATTTTATGGCACTACATAYTATTTCTTTGAGGATGGTATAGTCTAGTTAGGAAGCAGCTGCCTAGAAGGAGGATTGCTGTCCTATTGGTCTTCTTTCCCAATGCAGTCTGCCCTTAAGTTTATATATTTACCACCTCTAGATTAATTGCTTTTATAAATGTATCCTAGAGCAGTCATTACATCTTAAAATGAACAGCAGGCTTAGCTCTCCATCCCTACACTGACTTTCTGATGGCAGTACCAGTTCAGTGGCCAGAACAATGAAAAAAGTATTTACTTTTAAAGCAGTGAAATAAATGACAAAAAAAGTTAAGAACATTCTGTTTTTATATATCTGATTCCACAAGATGARAATGTATTTGGAAATCAATCCTGCTTTTCCTCCAGGAATTTAGGTTCTGAGTTTTTTTTGTGTTTCAGAAGCAACTGTAGTGCAACTCTGATTTAAATGAGGGTAAAACTCAACAAGCTGTGAAGGACTTTCCTTGTAAACTTCCACAGGAGACAAACCTAGATGTGATCTAGTTGGTTCCTGTTTCATTTTCTCTACCATTTTTCAGTCATTTATTTCTTCAGAATGGGAATAGGTTCCCTGGAACATGAGAAACCCAATTAATATAGCTCAAGCCCCTGATTATTGTTATTTTTAATTGTTGTCAAGCGTATTTTTGAAAGGCAGCTTTGACTCTGGACAAGCAAAAAGCCTCTGCTCCCACATGTGTGTTCACAAAGCATGTATAAAATCTCAATAACTTCCTAGTTCATACTTTCTTTTGTTGTTTTGGTGATGCTTAGCATGCAGAATGAATGCATCTGTTTCCTTCCCATCTCTGTCTGCAGGGGATGTGATCAGCCTGGGAGACCGACAGCTTACTGTAATGCACATGCCCGGTCATTCACGAGGCAGCATCTGCCTGCACGACAAGGAGCAGAAGATCCTGTTCAGTGGGGATGTCGTGTACGATGGATCCATGATCGACTGGCTTCCCTACAGCAAAATCAGTGACTATGTTGCGTCCTGCCAGCGTCTCATAGAGCTGGTGGACAAAGGTCTCGTGGAGAAGGTTCTTCCCGGGCATTTTAACACCTTTGGAGCAGAAAGGTTGTATCACTTAGCTTCCAATTACATCTCCCAAGCTGGAGTTTGCCACAGGGTGTCTACTTGTGCCATGAAATCCATTGCAAGCATAGCACTTCGTGTTACAAATTCTAGAAGTGTCTCTTAGTAATAGTGCTTTTTGTGTGATTTATTCCCTGATAGAAAAACCAAATGGCTTGTGAAAGCATTGATATGTGCAAAGCAGTATGCATTAGTAAGGAGCTGGCAAATTGATGTGGATGAGCTGCAAAAATTCTCCTTGTTTTTTGCCTACATTACTCCTATTTTTTAAAAATATATACATAAGCTAGTAACTTAGCCAAAGCTGCCATTTTTCTTTCTRTTTTTTTTCTGGGCATGTTTGCACAGCTGTTGTGATTGCCAGTGGACTGCAGTTTGAAATACATTGCTTTATTTTTGATATAATTCTGACAGTTACATATGATAAGCCAAAATGAAAGGTTTTACATACCTGAAACTCATGCCTGAAACTTTTTTGATGTAGCATTAGGGTAAAGGTTTTATTTGTTTTTAAAAGTTTTTTATCGTGGCTGGATTGTAACGTGGCTGCTAATGCTTTGTGGCGGGGAAGAGGGATGGAGACTTTCTTTAGTCAACATTTCTTTTGTCTACTGCAGAGACTGGATTAAACATCCTGGCTGCTTATTACCCTGGAGTGAATGTAAMTTGAAGTGTTTACTATTTGTTTATGTTCTGGTACCTGTAAGTGCATTTCATTTGAGTTTGTTCCCTAAAAAAGTTGAGTATGTTGAAGAATGATAGATGATATTGCGACTTTGTTATTGAGATGGAAGTGATATTTAAAAGTAATTGAGATGGTTAAAGGTTGTGTGTTTATACTTGTGGCTTATTTATTTAACTTCTGTAAAAGGACACTGTCTGATGTTATTTTTGTATATAAACATATATACTTTCCTAACAAAATTGCTTTTTGTCTTAACATTTTCCCAAAACTTCAGTGGAGTTGAATATTATGTGTTTGGCTTTCACTTTATGTGGAAGCATTTCCTTCCCTTTGATGATACCAASCAGAAATCAAGCCCAAATGTTATGGGTTGTAAGGTATGGAGGGTGGAAGTTGGAGGCCTTGTTTACAGTTTTAGTTCAGGTGAGAAAAAAAATATAGCTTACTTTCTATACTAGATGCAAAATAAAAAGCATTTTTGATAAAAATTTATGAAAGAGAAGATCTTTTACAATTTGGTTTCTCCTTTCATAGCTGACTGCACTCCTGCCTTCCCTATTTGAATATACCCTTCACCAAAAGCGGGACTGATAGGTTGTGACATGCATAGTTCTTGTTAGCAGTGCCTTGTTCCTGTTGCAAGCTAGAGAAGAACTGTAAGCAGGCGGACAGATGCAACAATATGGTACTTGGAAGAAAGGTTGTTACTTGAATCGTAGTCTGTCTTGGAGAAATCTCAAGTATTTCACTGTATTGTAWGATGAATGTTTAATTAGTGGATAGACTTGTTATAAATAAAGCTAAGAACTATTTATATTGGTCTTGTGTGGCCAGAGGAAAAATATAGTTAGAGTGGGAAGGAAGAAGTCATTTAGTGAAAAGGCACAGAAAAATTTCAGTGTGGCTTTCCTTCCTACCTGCTGACTGACACTGGCTATTTATGTAGCAACCCAGACTAGTTCTGGAAAGGCAGGACAGGCAATTGTGCAGTCTATCATCTGTGTTTAAATCTGTGCTCAGTTCCTGCTGAACTCAATGTCAGTCACATGGTCCTTAAATGTTTAGATCACGGGCATAAATGTCATGTAAAACCATGCTTAAGCCTGTGAAGTCTATGTACATAACAGCAATTGTTACTTTTTCTTTTTCCTTGACAAAAATACATGGAATATTTCCTAAATCAGAAGTGAGCTTAATGTGAACACCGCCTGTAATGGTGTGTGTTAATAAACTGCTGCTATAACCCAGCTGAATATAGTTGTTGTGGGTCTTAAGATTATTTTTATATTATAAAAAGTTTAGTACTAAGTAAATGACATGTTTAAATGTTTTAAATATAAAGTGTTTCTGAATATTTTTGTTAAAAATTATCAAGTTTTAATCATAAGAGTTTGACAGTGTCCCTTTAACACAACTTGGATTAAGTATTTAAAATATATAYGTTAAGTTTAAATGTTGCAGCATTTTGGACATTTAGATCTGTTAATTTATTTGTAAAATCAAAATCAATGTATATTGCTACTGTTTCAGTAGATTAAAGAATTCATGGATTTTTTCATAAAATTACCTCTCTGTAATCTGTCCAGACTTTGTGTGTTAAATAACAATTCTCACAGAAGAAACATTTTATCATGGATATCATAATAAAAATGTTACAAACTTATGCTGTCCAGTTATAATTTCAAAGCATCTTGAAGAAAATTAAGAAGAAGATTAATCTGTGATTTTTTACAACCCCATGACTTGGTGCTACTCTAAAAKATATTTTTAAACTTCTAAGGTGGAGAGGTTTTCTAGGTTTCTCTTTGCCTCTTTTCAACCGATTTCATAACGAGACAATGGGGCTGGTGGTAGTAGCCCTGGCAAGAGCTGTTTGTTAGAAGATGTTATTGGGCTTCCCCCACATGGCCTTGTTCTGTTGTCCTCCAGGCTGTCAGGAAGATGAGCACGTAATTTAGGAGTCAATTCTAATCAAGATGACAGGCTGTCCTCTCTTCCAAGTGAAAAATTTAAATGTTTAAAAACGAACTATTTTTCATAGCTATTTCACCTGTACAAATGGTCTAGGAATGAAACAGAACACTGACAGCTGTAAAGAAATTCATTCCATGTGACCATAAGCTAGGCTGGATATCAGATGAATGGATAGAGATGCAGAGAAGGGTGACAGCTTGATTACTATTCTTACGTTCTGGTCCAAAGAATGCTCTGGACCAGAAATAGAAATTTGATTCAACAATGTGACGTATTAGGAAGAGTGCCAATATGTAAGGCAAGGATGAACCTATTCTGTCTGGAGGTGGTGAGACCTCAGTAGACTATTGAGCCCAGCTTTGTGCAGCATACTTTAAGTAAGCAGATTGGAAGGAATTAGAGGGAAGAAAGAATCAATCTTAGTAAACATGACAAAGACTTAGGGGAGATGACAGAACAGTTTTCTGTTATGTCAAAAGACAAGTATACTATATCTTAACTTGTGGTAAAAGGTAACTTGGACTAAATGTGACAAAAAACTGCAGGATAGGTTAGCAATAGTTCATATTTTTAATCATTAATCTAGAACTATATTGAATTTAATCACTGGTTTCATAGAATTTTTATTTGCAGTAGCTATGAATGTGATGCATTATTTCTATTTGTGGTGATAACAAACTACACTTTACCTTTCACAGTAGAAGCTATGTTATTAAGTAGCTCTCTCAAGTGACCAAGAAGCCTTTATATAAAATCTTCCACTTAATACACAGAAAAAAAAAAAAACCCACATCAGTCTCAGTTTACTTTTACACCACAGAACATCTATTTGTCATCACCTCACTATAAAAGAAAAATTTTGGCTAAATTGAAAATTCTGTAGTGCAGAAGTGAAAGCATCCTTTGTCCTGCATCCTGAAGTGTACAGCACTACCCAAGCAGAATTCAGGAAGAGTCAGTACAGTGCTGCTAAAGCCTGGTGTGAATCTTGCTATTAAAAAAAAAAAAAAAAAAAAAAAAAAAAAAAAAAAAGGCAAAAAAAAAGCGCACACATCTTCCACAACAGGAAATTAAAATCAGGATCTTTTCATCTTTTCAGACAGAAAGAGAAAGGAAGATAAGAATGAAAAAGAGAAGATGGCCAAGGAGAATTTATGAACTTTCAGCAGCTAGATCTAAAAATTGAACCATGTCCATTTTACATTATTATTTATATTTTAATTGCTGCATTAATGATTTCAACAATAAGTACCTCTTGTGTCTTATCTTGTGAAACTGCAGGCAGATCTCATCCAAAACACATGCCTCTCCAGCGCCTTCGTGTCCCGACTGAATCAGGAAGCACAGAAACACACAGAACTGGAAAGTAATCAGAAAACGCACAGTGGGTTTTATCTGAACTTTAAATAAGGCTGAGCTTAAACCGTTACACCCCGCTTTGGTGGGTGGAAGGGTGTTTAACCTGGGGCCGTACTTGCAGCGCGCATAGCGCTGCGGCCGGGGCACACGCGGGCCGAGCGGCCCCGCGAGCCGCACGGGCACGGACAGGCTGTGCAGGTACAGCCGCTCATTAACGCCCTCATTAACGCCCTCATTAAGGCTCATCAGAGGCGGCCGCGCTGCAGGCGGCTCTGTCGCCCCCTGGTGGCCGCGCTGCGGCAGCGCCGCGGGGCTGCGGCGGGGAGGGCGGGCAGGAATTCCAAGCGGTTAGCTGGAATGTGCCGCTGTCTGCCAGAGCACCTGGCTCCCTGGCCTAGCCAGCGCTGCACAGAGCACGGATGACGGCATCCAAGTACACACCGAGCTGAACTGCAAGAAACAAAATGAAAACCTCTAATAAAGAACCTTTTTTTGTAACAACATCCTTCACTGCAGCAGGGGCCGAGGGTCAAACCTGGTGGTAATTTATGCTTTTAGCTACAGAAGTGCCATCTGCCAACAGCAGGGAGTCACAAACTTCTACGGTGTRCCTTGCCTCCTACATCTGTGCAGCAGGGATTATCTGGGCAGCGCCGGGGGCTCTTCACGGCCTGATTTTGAGACAAACGCATCTCAAACACATCTCATGAACAAATGAGCTCCTCAGCGCATGTCTGGGGTCAACCTGCTCCCGGGTCACCCTCCCAGATGCGGCGCTCGGCAAAGCCCCTCGGGTTGTTTAGCGCRGCAGCTTCACTGCCGCTGGAAAAGGTGGGTCTCCACGGACACGCGCCACCTGCAGCACAGGGCTCCGCTGGGTTATCGGGCATCGCTGCTCACTAGGGGCTTCCCGAATGACGAGGARGGACCTGTATCGTGTCACACACCAGGCTCACCTGAGGCCGCACTTTTAAAGTCATCATTTTTAGTCGGTCAGACATTTGCCCCTTTTCCCCCTCTCCAACCCCATTCACAACATATGCAGGCTGGTTTACTTGCAGGCTTGTGCAGCCTAAACATTAACTCCATGGGGAACTGGTACTATATATCAACATCTCASATCTTGCAGCTCAGTGGGACACAGACTGTTCCCTCCCTGCATTTATAAAGACTACCACTTTTTATACTGTTAACAGTCTGTGATTGTATATATTTATACATATATGTATACACACACACACACTACATATAGCATAGTGAAAACACACT